AGTCTTTTTTTAATATGTATATAGAGAAAAGCACAAATAATGCCTCTGTTACAAGAGAGGATTTGATATTGTGCTATTTTTTTTGTTCAGCCTTTGTTTGGTGCAGAATTAACCCCAAAATAAAGGTAATTCTTCGGTTTTCCTTTTGGGTAATCCTTGCTGGGGGGTTGGGAGGTTACAGGGACCGCAGGCTGAAGAGGTGTCAGACTGTTCAGCCGACCACATTAGCTACCGTTTAAACTGTTTTGTCAGAATACTAAAATAACATTTAAATGTAAATCTGCTTGGCTACACTGAGATTTACGCTTCCCACCTGGGCCATATTTCAGCACACAGTCTCCATTGTCCTTTAAGGCATTCTTCCTCCAATAGTTTAACAGCAACAGAAAATGAAAACATAAAAATTTTGTGATTTTTTTTTAAATCCAGCTAAGGATAAAATTTCAGATTAGCTGTTTAGATTTTAAAAGCTTCCATTTATTGAAGTATTAATCTGAAAAGTAGCAGAGTATAAAGTCAGTGATTAAACATATATACATATATATAAAATATATGTATTTTAATTTTAATTTAAGCCAGAGGCCAACTATGTAAGTGGGTCACTTGAAAAAAGTTGACAGAAAGTTTTCAGGAAAGCTGCATATTCCATTTGGCCAGTGTCAAAGCCAATGAGCATCACCACCTCGGTAGGGCCAGCTAATGAGGTCACTGGCAGAGCAAGGGCTTCACGGGAACCTTTTCTAGGGACATTCCTCAGCCAAGCCCCAAGCCTCAAGTGCTTCCCAGGGATTTAAAAAAATACACACATATTTTAAAAATTTCAAACAGGCAAAGACTTCATTGCAAATGACTAGTTTTTTTAACATTCATGAAGCCAGTGGCCCATAATCCTCATTTCATTTCGTGCACAAGAAGGGATGAAAGGCGCTGAGCAGGTGCTTGCTCGGCCAGGCGACCTCAGGAGCGATGCCCTGGGCACGGGCAGCGCCGCTGTCCTGCGCCCGGCGCAGCGTCCTGCAGGCCGCCCCACTACAGCCCCGCAGCGAGAACGCAGCGCGCTGCCACAAGGCGCTCCGTGGTCGTGACTGCGGGCCAAGGCTGCCGGGGGGGCTCAGGGGTGGAGAAAAGCCATTGTGATAAATCCTGGTACAATGAGCCCAAGCCCTTGGACTCAGAATAACTCCCTATCACGCATAAATATATATATATATATATATATGCACACATACACATACATATATGCTTGTCCTGCACTAACCCATCTTCCCTCCATCCAGGAGCCACTGAACCCGAGGGAGGTACTAACACAACCAGATGATCAGCCAAGGACTTGCGGATCCTCATGTCCCATGCGATGCCCATTCACTCGGGGCAGTGCACAACAGCAGAAAACGTTACCTCGTTCCCAAAGTGCAGCAAAGACATAAAGGGACTTTTTAATGCAAACCACAAAGTTTCAAATTTGCACACCCTTCTGCTTAACTTTGTCCTTCGCACCAATATTTATGTTGTTGGGCATGATGTATCTTCATGCATCTGATTAGGGATTTCTTTAGAGCCTTATGATACACTAGCTAAGTGGCTGCATATTTTAGGTTAATCGAACATTAATAAGTCTCAGATCGCAAGTACATTTGACCTTCCCCAGTTTTTTTGGAAAGAAATCAGGTAACTGTAGGGCAAGGAATCTATTAACTTCTAAGGAACCAAAAATTGATGATGGCAAAGAACAGAAAAGCAAGGACATTCTGTTACATCATTTATTCACTTTCACAATACCATGCAGAATCATCTTCCCAAGTACTGCTGTTAGCAGCATTAACTCTTTGAACCTCGATATATCAAGGGATATTTTGCTCTGCTGCCATTCTAGAAAATTGATTCTTTTTGGATTAAAGTGCCATTAAATATGAAAACCGGTCAGAAACTTCTCTTTTTTTAAATTGTGAGGGTACTTCTACAATCTAATTGCTGAACAAGAAAAAATACTTCTTCATGTTTATATGCTTAGATTAAGGGCAGTAATGAATAAAAAAGATTTCTTTCAATATATGTAGCGTTAATATATCTGAGTGATACAAAATGATGGCTTGAAGAATTAACGTATAATCACATTTCCCTAATAGTACACAGGATGCCCTAAGCTCCTTTATCCTGTGTTATAACACCACTAAGTTGCTACTCAGAGGCTCCCAGGATGACTAATCTGATTTGAGATTTTACTGTTTAATACATCTCCACAAAATATCCTGCATTTTTAAAAAATGGCAAGATGAAAATAAGACACAGCAAGCACTAACAACAGCCCGTCAGTATGAACAGTATGAGGTTCAGGCTGTTGACCCAACCACAACGTGCCCTGTAAACACGCTGGGCTCAGTAACCCCTCAGCTCAGAGCCATTCTCCATTCAAAATACATTGTCACCTTCATGTCAATGAAAAAAAAAAAAGAAAGAAAAAAAAGAAAGAAAAAGAAGAAGGAAAAAAAGAAAGAAACAGGAAGACAAACACAAAAATCCCCCAAAACCAGAAAAGAAAGAATGAAAGGAGCAGTGATTCATGTGTATCTGAGTCGGGAGGAGACTCAGTACATTCCTCTTTTAGGCTTGTACACACCTGTTAAGTTACAGGCCAGAGAATAGGGATTTATACCAATAGTTCATGTCTGGATTAAGTTTATGTCCTTACATGATTAAGAACTATGATATTATTTATAAAATTGACAATAAATGTCATGACTAACAGAACTTATTTCTTGCAAGGCTATGTCAGGTCATAAGCTTTGTATTTTATTATTTATAAAGTTGACAGCAAATGTCCTGACCAAATGAACTTACTTCTTGCAAGGCTTTATCAGTTCATAAGCTTTTGAACTGTTGAAATCCCACCTAGTTAGAGCGTCTCTCTAAACTGGTGCATCCTTGGTGAGCCTTGATCTAATCTTTACATACTTAGCGTTTCTAAGACCGACATCGCTGAGTTTACTGTTTTCTCCCTGGATGGCAGAACAGCAAGAGTTTTAGCTTCAGGATGTCTTTATTCTGAGCTCTTTACTCAAACCTACCAAACATACAGCTCCCCCTACTACCAATAGCTTAGCCAAAACTAATAATTTAGCCAAATGTTTATGCCAGAAGCGAGATAAGTAATATTTTATGGCGCTCCAGTATTACAGCAAGCCTAGTGTGATTTCTGAGCCATTAAGCTGGAGGCTGAGCAAGTTCTATCAAACAGACTATACTGTAATATTCCAGGAAATGCAATGTCTATTATGTCTTATTGCTGTAATGAAATAATTATACAAAACTAATGAAAATGAGCCATACTTAATAATTCTCTGGGTAAATCCATGACAGAGATATGACAGAACTGACAGTCTATCAGAAAGTCCCATTTGTGCCCATAATTTTGAAATAATAATTATATCAGTGCCATTTATTCCATTATAACTGGTCTGCTGCAGATTTTTTCAAATACAAAATTAAATAATGAACATATTTCATCATTAAAACCAACTATTTTAGCATGGACATTTTTATGTCGCAAATTTTCATTAGAATTAAAGACAACTAGCTCTTAAAATCTAATCTAGCAGCTTTTACCTGGGTAAATCTCGACAGATTTTGGTAGGAACTTTGCTCAAGTTTAACGTTGCCTAAATGGAATGAGGTTATTAAATGCCCACTGACTAAGCAGAGAAAGCATCCATATTAAGAGATGTTTTTGTCAAAGCCTAAAAAACAATAAATGACATGTTGTATCTCCCTTTTGTTAATTAGTCGATTATACCATTTATATATATATGTAACAGTTAACTGTTACTTCCTGTGATATACAACCTGCTTCATATATAACAATACTGTGTGCACCGGTAGGAAATATCATTAATTCCATATCAAGTTTAATTTACATTTTAATATGCTTTAAGCACTTTTAAGAGTAATAATATTTTGATTAAGAAATACTTATAGTAGGAGACATTAAATAGTTCTCTGTGTTTTCCAACAATCAAATTTTCAAGGAGATGGGAGGAATAAGATGGGCCAATATCTAACTTCCTCGTAACTGCAGAAAACCCAAAGCATTGAATTCGCCCAGCTCCTACTAAATGTTCATCCTTTCCCAAAGCTCCAAGGCCTCAAATGTCCCCAGAGCTCCTCAGGCCATAGCATCACAGTGACAAATACGAAAACTAATGTAAATCATTGCATTGCTGAAGCTTTGTCACTAACTTTACACACCATTAGTAAACTGAACCGCTGAACTCAGTGGGTACCCCCAGATCAGTTTTGAAGCATTAGACCCTGATCAGCCTGAAACTCACACAAAGTCTAATTCGTTGTGCACATTCAAGTGTCCCACATAGGAATCTTCAGACTAGTTCAAGACCATGAAAAAGGAGAAAAATCAAGAACGTGCTAGATGATTAGTTTTCAGCCCAAGAACTCTCCTAGCTATGGTAAGGTCACAGTGGGTATGTAGGCAGCTGTGCTCAGCCCAAGTCCACCAGCAGCCCTTGTGCTGAAATTACACTGACAAAGTTGGCAACCAGCGTGGCCCAAGGGTGTTTCCTGCAAGAAACCCTCAGCAAACCACCTCAGGCAGGATGTCAGCTCAGAGCTGTGTGACCATCCTGCTCCTCGGGTAAAGGCATCCTCGGGGAGACCAACGAGGTGGCACCATTGTGGAGCTGTGGGCAGGAAGCATCTTAATTCAGCTACACACAACCTTTTAATCTAAACACAAGACACACAATACAAGCATATTTGCACAAAACAAAAAACCCTTTACAGGCATAAAAGTACAGCCTAATTTCATATAGGCAGACCAGGGATAACAAGAAAAGTCTCAGGCCCTATGGAAATAATATTTAAAACAAGTTGTCAATAAAAAATAAAAATCCAGAGGGAAAAAAAATACAAACCCATTCAAATTCTTCTTAGTCTGTGTATAATGTACATATATAGTAAAGAATGAACAGCAGTTATTTTGAACTTACATATGACGTAATAATCCTTGTTCTTCTGAAATTCCAAGCCCCAGAGATTAGGGCTGAACTCTTGAAACTTGATGGTAAACTTAACATCTTGATCTGGCTTGGCACAGTTGAGCAGAGGTGTATTGTCCTTTTTAATAGCACAGCTATCTGCTTGGTCTTTATCAACCATGTAGACCTTGTAATACTCATACTGACCAACAGTTTTAGAGTCCACCTTTGGGCATATAATATCCAGTTTGTCTCCTATCTGTGGATATAGTACCAATCCTTGTCCAGGAAGGAATCTAAAAGAAAGGATAAAAAAAAAAGGGGGGGGGGGAGAAAGAAAGGGAAAATGTGAGACAGTTGATAAAAAAAACACTCAGAAAAAGTAGCCACTGGAACAGGAAGAAAAGAACAAACAGTTTCCAAACCAAAATGACAGAGTGAGCAAAGCAGCTCTTAATAGTTTGTGCCTGACTTAATATCAACAAGATGTTTATTTAAATCTTAGAAATTACAGATGGATTGAGTTTTACAGCCTTTATCCCCATTTTAGGAACTTCAGGTTTTGTGTCTGTCGCAGGCACCACAGTTTCTTCCACAGTAGGTCATGCATAACAGACAGGGATACAAAGTGTCACAATATTGGTTTTCCATTTTGGTAACATTCCTACTATACTTGCATATATTGTGCTAATTTTGGACTCCGAAGAATGACAGGAATCATCTGCCAACCCTCCTCCAAGTGCAGGGAAGAAAACAATTTAGTCCTTAAGATTTAACAAGGCATTAAAAAGCTGATTACTGCTATTGGTAACACAGAGCACATTGGTATGACACAGAGCAATACCAATCATTCATGAAGCATTCTGCTCACAAACTAACAAGGGACTGGAAGCCCACCTGACCCAAGGAGTGCAAACACTCCTCTGATGCATTCAGCCTGATGACGCATTCAGCCTAAAAGTGTGATCACTTCCTTGCAATCTCTTCTCTTTGCAAACTCCACCTTTAGTTATTAATTTAACTCTTTCGTGTGTGTGTTACAAGTGAAACGCGACTACGCTTTTACCTCAGCGGAGATAAAGACTGCTTACACAGATTGGCAGTGAGCTTTGATGTTTTGGGTTAGACTTCATCTTATACCTTTGCTATGAGTATTAACTAATATGCAAACTTTAACACTTCTTCATGAAAGGAAAGTATAAATAATTATTCATAGTATTGATTCACTCACAAGATGAGAAGCCTTGATCTCACATGGACAGGAGCCAAAACAGACTTGGATTTTGGTTTTCTGTTTTGCTCCTGAAGATATACTTGTTCCAACTTAGGCCAAGAAGCACAGCTTCAGAACTACAGCCAACAATGCAACGGCCCCTAATGCACAGACCTAAAAGGCTGACTTTCTTTCCTCCTCCATCCTTTCCCTCAGGTAAAGAAGCTCACCATGAACTTTTAGTACTGGAGCACAACTTGCTACAAGAGCAAAAAGGCTCATAAGATGCCACAAATTTCACATCTATCACTCACAACTGCTTGCTCCTACACAATGCAAGTTTATGATCTGCGCTAATTGAGTGGGATTATTTTCACTCACAAAGCCTGTGTGAGAATTATGTTTGTTGTGAAGCAGCATGGAGCGGGACAAAAACACATAATTACAGATTTAGGGGAAAAGAACAATGAAATGTTATGGCAAGAAAAGTGACTGTTGATGTATAAATCACTGCGCTCTTTTGTGTAGCGCGGTGTAATTTCTGGACTATAGGAAGAGGGCTTGGCCCCGGCTATTAAAATAGTGGTGTGCTGGAGGCTGGCAAAGCTGCACCTCCTCTTGAGCGTTGGCCCTCCTAGGAGTCAGCGGCCTTGGGAGGACCCATCCGGGGGGAGGCTGCCGGCGATGGGAGGGAATGGGTAAGGAGGGACTGCATCAGGCAGGCGATTCCAACGGCAGCATCGCGGCTACACACACAGGCTCTCCCGGGCAGCTCCGGGGAACGACGCAAACCGGGCAGAGGCCAAAGGAGCGGCGACGGTTTCTGAGCCCACCCACGTGATTTGCTACTAACTTCATCATCTTGTCTGACCACAGCCCAGTTTTACTCTGCTCCAACACAGCAATCTAGGACATTAAAATTACACTTCTTCCTCCCATTTTGTATGCCAGGCCAAAGGCCAGCCACCATAGGATCCCACTGCTGCAAACATTCCCACTTGCAGCAAGTCTACTTCACATAATGGGAACAGGTAGTAAGAGACACACAAGATTTCTCAGGACCAGATCCTTGTTTTTAAGACAATCGATTTAATTTTGCATAATAAATTCATCATGTTAGAAGCACACACCTGTCTATCACTATCAACAATACGACCTAGAAGATGCTCCAATAAAAATAAAAATTAAAAAAAATCTAACTTTAGATTGTGCCTATTTATGTGTTTAATTAAGTAGCAACGTACAAATCCTCTGTACAAATTATGAGCTCAAACAGGAGTGGTTCATAGGCAGCATGCAGGGCAATTCTCAGAAACAACTACTAAATAGAAAGCACATTTATGTGTCTTGGTTAAGTAGCTAGGAATTGCCCTATAAAATGTAAAGGACAGAACCACCCCCCACAGACAACTAAAACTCATTTTACAAGAGCTTTAACTGATGCACTCGTTAGACTTTATGGCAGGGGAATATTCTAGCTATGTGTCTGAAGTCTGCACAGTCTGAGAATTAAGCTTGAAAAATCTGCTTCCACTTCAGTTTCTGATGGTTTAAGATCTAACATTGATAAGACTAGAAAGAAAAAAAAAGGTTGAAAGTGAAAGGATTAATCTGCTAACTTGATTTTCTTGAAATTTTTTTCCACCGTTCGTCATTTTGACAGTTACCTTTATGTGAAATGCATTTTTCCAATTTACGTTCCTTATTTTCTTACAATAGTAAATTATAAATGTGGATGGAGAGAATAAAAACAAAGCTTTACCTCATGCATTTCTGTTTCACCACAAAAATTTATAGTGACCATAGCTAGGCATGACTTTTATCCAACCACTTGCGTAAGAACAGTCTTGCTACTGTATTTTTATAAAGATTTTAAATCAATCATCTGCTAGATCTAAACATTTTCTGAAACTAAGCTATTTATCAAATGCCAAGGAACAGCATTAAAGAGTATTGCCATTATGATCTTTTTTTCTGAAAACTTTATATCTTAAAAAGGAAGACTATATACGGTCTTCATATAGGTTAACCAAGATTTCAGCAAGAGTGAATTTATCCCAAATCTTTATTTCTGCAACTGTTAATGTAGCCTTAAGCATTCTGGGGTAGCATCAACACTTATAAAATATTGGCAGGACTGCAGCTATAAAAATAAAATTTATAAACTGATTTTAAAAGTGTGAATAGAACGTGCCTTCAACTAATTAAAGATCTTTTTCAAACAAAAATACAATAAATTTGGATCAAGATGTTTTCTGAATCCTACAAATGACACCCAGAGGAGGCTACATTACACTGATGGTTACTCCAGATACTGACGCACTATTTGAGTAGTTGGGAGACTGACAGCACTGGAACCACGCTTTCTTACTATAAATATTCCTTAGTGGAAAACCTACATACCAATATAGATTCCCAATGGAAACTTTGGGGAAACACTCAGCCAGTTTCTTGACTTATTTCTTCCAGCAGTCAGATAAAATGAGATTAGAGCATTTTGAAAAATCTTACTCACATTTATAATCATAGTGCTTACTGTGAGAAAGCACAGAAAAGCTGTAAAATTCAGTTAACACACGTTCTGTCTGGTATTTTTGGATAAAGACTGTGTTTTCGCTGATATCCCAAAGTTGGTGAATTGAGGGTGACATTTGACATCTATACAAAATTTGTCCATGGATGTGAATCCATCACATCAGCTTCCCACTACTCACATAGATTATCAAGTAACAGCAACTTCCTGAGGTTTCCAACCTTGTTAAATATAAGTATTAATTGGATCAATATCCACATACCACATAAATAAGAAGTGGACTTGGAAAGGAGTAGTCTATTCTCTACTCCTATCAGTGTTAACAGTTATTTTCTGTACTACATTTATGCTTCTACTGCCCCTTTAATACGGAGTTAATACACTGGTCAAATTCCTAAAGAAGTTACATTTGATTTTTAAATTCTATAGAAATTGAATTTTTAATTCTACAACATTTCAAATGGATGTCTTAAGGATCTAATTTAGATTTTACAGAATCTTACTGCATTAACCCCAATTAAATTATGCAGTACCATTCCATAATTTTAACTATTCAAACCCATCTTATCCCACACAGTATTAAATTCTCATGGAATTAGTACTTTATCTGTCAGCAGATTTTTTTTTGAGAATATTCTACCATTCCTTACTAAACACTCACATCTGAAACTATAAAGTTATCACAATATAAAATTCTCAGAGAAGCAAACTCTTGATTAATTAATTTTGATATAAAAAATATTTTGCCAGGCTTTTTACAATCATATATATGCACACATGAGCACATATGTGTGTGTGTGTGTAAAAATGTAATACTTAGCTTAAACTACGTCCTAGTCATAAATGCAATTTTAGAAAGCGTGTTACTACTTGTTAAGAGTCTTATATATTTTACTGGGGAAACACTGCCAAATTTCTGTGCTTTAATATCTTACCTGAACTAATTGGTCTAGGCAGTTAGTTTTAATTTAATATAACAAAAATAACCCTAAAAACTTCAACAATCAAAATGTTTCTTAAAATGCTTAAAATGCTTCTTAAAATTGAGTCTGATACACAGAAGGAATATTTAAGCAAGGCAAAAGCCATAATGGCTTCATGCAAAGCAAATAAAAGTTACAGGAAGAAATCCCAGTGATTTCAGCAAAGTAGCAGTGGCCTAATCACAGCCTGCTGAATGAGATGAAAACCACTTTTGCTGAATGCCAAAGACGTAAACAGAGACAAACGTGCTCCAGAGGAGAGAACCATGCTCCTTGCAGCACTTTCACGTTAGTTTCCCTCATGCTCAGTATCATATTTGAAAATAAGCCATGTGGATATAAGCCTCACGCAGTGATAAATGCGCTGCACTGCTTTGCAGGAGCGGTGATTTTATAGGACTGATCTCACCCTAGTTTAAGTGGATTAAGTGAACAGGAATTCACTGCGAACAGGATCAAGAACTGCTATGGAAGAGCGAGAAAAATGAGCTTCATCAGAAGAGATTAATGTAGAGTCTCTGCCTTAAAATGGGTATGGAATTTGGCTGAAAAAGACACGCACTTCTCTTGCATGAACTGTCTGCAAGAAGAAAATACCACGAGGCTTGACAGGACAAGATGACAGGACTTGCAAAAGAAACTTTGAAAATGAAAGAAGTGCAGCATTTCATATTATTAAATTATTTTGAATGAGTTTTAGAAGCTGCTTCTGTCAAGGCAATGTTATTAAATTATTTTAATACTCTAACATGATTTTAGAGAACATGTTAAAATAAATACATTTCTGAATTTAAATAAATGTAAGAAGTTTAATCTACTAACCTTTATTTATATATGACATTTTTCCATGTAGTTAATGAAACTATTCATGCAAGCAAGGATTCCTTGCATTAATAAGAGTTGCAGAACAGAAACCAATGGAATTCAAATAAACAAACAAACAAATATATTCACATTAATCTCTTAAGATCTTTAATGGAAAGTACCAAAGTACACAAAGCCAAATTATAAAAAACCATAACCCAGGTTTCTGAAACTACGGTTCTTATGATTCTCACTTTCACTGGAAACATCTTTGAAATCGTGAGCTTTGAAACTCAACCCTGGAACCATAAGTAATCTCCATCCTGGGTTATGCAGGACCTCCTCATCTTTGCCCTTTCCCATACCCAAAGAAATCTCATTTTGTTTTCAGGCTACCAAGGGGTGATGCACTTGCAGCGCACTGGAAAAGGCCCTGACCAAGTGGTTATTTCATTCCAACTGCCACTCAGGACACAAAATGGCAGCAGGGCCATTTTGCGTGGCTCAAATGGTGGGCGCCATTTTGTGTGGCTGAAGAAGCCTCCCAAAAGCTTTTGCTGCCTTTTCTTGTACCTGTTCTTACCGGAAACTTATTCAGAAAACATGTAAAAGGCAAAATAATAATAAAAAAAAGCAAAAAAACCCCACCTTCATATGCATGAAACAAGCATGGTATGAAAATGCTGATCGTTTTCCCCAAACAGGATTTCCATTTTGTGTGGACACAGAGACAAGCTGCACCCTCAGATCACAGTCCCTAAGGCACAACACCAGCTCTGAATACAGGGACACCCACAGGCACCACGAGTCTTCAAATATTTCAAAAAATACCATGACCTGCAAAGATGCACCATGAGCTCCCTTCCCCACCATGTAACCCGTGTGAGTATTGCCTTTGCAGGGATGCGCGCCGTCACTTCTTCACTCCACGCAAAGCAGCAGCCTTGCACAAAAGCCGCAATTGTGGCGTGATACTTGATCATCCCTTCAACCCTTCAGGTGTATCGAAGGAGATCACCTGCAACCTGGCACCAAAACCCATCTTACTGGAGACGTGCTCTCAAAGAGCAAATCCGGCTGCTCGAGAACTGTGATATAAGATTACAGCAATGATCGCCTGACACAGGGTGGAGGGGAAAAGAAAGAAAGAAAAAGAAAGGAAAAGAAATAAGCCAAAGGAAGGCTTTAGCGTCTATCTCCATCCTGGGCTCAAGCAGAGAGAAGTGACTCCCTGCGACTCCTGTGGCGGGGAACGGCGGCGGCTGATTCACTGCGGTGACCAGGCTGCGCTGCATGTCAGCAGATGCGTTTCAGCTGGACACCCTTTCTGCCTTTTTTTTTTTAATAAGAAAAACTCATTTTGCTGGAAAGCTGCCCTTTCCCTCCCTGTTTTTGGCTCCCTCTCGCACAACACACAATAAAAAAAAAAAACACGGTTATATAACTAAACTCTTCAGACAAGCTTGTGCTCTACCCTTCGCTCCTCAGCATAAAGGCAGGATGGTGCAAATAAATGCAGTTTCCCTCAGGTAAAAAAAAAAATTACTCTGCCTTAAAAACATAAATCCTCTGAGAGTAAACACCTAACTCTCATTTTTCCTCTGGAATAGGGAGCAAGATCTGTGGAGCTTTTTTTTTTTTTTTTTTGGACAGGATTGTACAGCTTCTCTTAGAGTATTTACCACACAGGTAATAAGGCTTGAAATGGTGAAAATACATAGGATTCAATTCGTTACCAAGATAGAAAAAGTTTTTTTGTTTTTTTCTCAAAAAACACAGATTTTATATTCAGCTTTTGTGCATGACCTCCACATAAAGCACTATTAATTGCAATTAACTTTTGGTATTATTGTGCAGAAAGCAATTACTGCTCTGCTAAAAGTACATAAAACACTAGAGAATTCTGATCCATTTACTAAATCAATTCCGGTTACCACAAAAAAACCGCTAATGTGCTCCAGGATGGTCTCCAAACTAAAGGGGAAGAAAAAATAGGGATGCAACTGATATGCTACTTTAAATTGAATTATATTATCATTTCACCAGCATTTACAGAAATATGAATCCTCACAACAGTGCTGAGCTCATTTAGCTTCAAGAAAGAGGGAACAATTCCTCCAATCACTGCTTGGTATCTATCTTTCACACACAAGCATGCAAACACACACAAACACATTTGTTTTTTATCACATTTGAGCAAGAAGCTTGCTTTCTGCATACCTTTATTTTTTTTTATGCAAGTGGCTGCAGTAGAGAGTGGAAGTTGATCTGTATAAATGGCTTATTCTGAGGAATTTCGAAGAGAGAAAACACTCAGTAGGTGCATTGTAATTAGTTGCTCTTTCTAGTTACCTCTTGACAAATGATGCATACAGGTCTGGATAAGAGCCCAACTCTTGACCCATGCCACCACTACACCTTTAGCACTTCAGGGAAAAAAAAAATCCCTAAGCCTCAATGTTCTTTTCATTTTGTTTTTCCAGAAATGCAGTTTCAGTAATGCACAAAATGAGAACGAGACGTTATTACCAAGGTTGGATTTCTTTCAGAAATGCTTCTTATAGTTATGTCCTAAATATATCTGAGGGAAGCTTTCTGGCTCAGATTCCTTCCAAATACATAGCATGTTTCAGGACTGGGTTAAAGGACAGGACGTGGCATTACACAGGCCAAACCTTGTTCCCACAACCCTTAATACACTTGTGCTAGATTTTTAAGGCTCTGAAAACAGAAGATATTCAAAAGATCATTATTTTTAATACAGGAGATCATAAGCCCATTGAAAAATGCAACTTTTACCACAAAAAAAAAACACTTAAAAAATAAACATTTTTTTTGGATAGCACTTTACTGCCCCCTTTTGCACTTTAACATTAGAACAGGTTTCAACACAAAACATATTTCTGTGAAACATGGCTAAGAGGTGGGGTAAAAGGACAGGGCATCATGTTTACACACTAGGCTCTCAGGCACTACTTTTGGAGCATCCTGCAATTACCTAAAAGATAAACAAGTGAAACATCTAGTTTTCATTGTCCTCAATCTTCCATGGAAGACATCAGTAATGAGTGGTTTAAATTACCATTTTCTGTTTTAATCTACATGTATAAAGGCTATGGGGAAAGAAAGGGATATTGCTCGTTAACACCGGTTGTCCTTCTGTCACAATTTTCTAAAGCAAAGATCATCTGCAACTTCAATTTAGTTTTATTTGAGAGGAAGAAAAGAATGACAAAGGGCTTTCCAGTCGAGGCCACTCGTGAGTTAGCAATCTCAAAACTCAAAAGGATGGGTGTATCCTTCAGAAGAAAACTTCACAAACTGGCAGGCAAGAATATTTTCATGAAAGGTGAAGACAAGAAGCCTAGACATTCAAATACCCTGCTAGCCCAAGGGCATAAACCCGTTCTGCAACTCTGCACTGCAATTACAGTCAGTGCAGAATTCATGTGTGTCTGTGTGTGTCCATATATAACTACAAAAAGTAATAAATCTGTAGTCTAGTGCCCAGTTATTTACAAAATACTAATTCATTATGACAGAGCCAGAGGGGGACTCATCCTGCCCCTAACTTCAGCTTCCACTTGACAAAGTCCATGTGCTGCTGTGCACACTTATATTTAAACTTAATCCATTTTCCTCTGTCATCCTACAATTACAATACAAGTCACAATAATATTAAATTTCACTGCCTACAGCATTGCACAATTGAACCATTACTGTAATGAAAAGTGACTCCCTTTGATACTAACACTGGTGTTTTCTCTCATTTGCTAGCTATGAAATACAGGAAGAGAACAATGTTGTTTTAATTAAAGAATTGTTGCTGAAAATACGCTACTGGGAATATTAAAATAGTTCCTTGCTCTTGCAGCAAAGATAATCTGGTATTTATATGGTCTGGATTAAAAAAAAAAAAAAAAATCTGTGCCATGAATTCAATGTAACACAAAACCACTGCTCTCCTTGACTTGTGCTCACAGAAGCAGGGTGTGCCAAAAACAAGAAACATGGCGCTTTGTTGAAAAGATGCAGAGCTGTAGCTAGTATGGAATGGAAAGGCAAACCAAACCATGTGTGCTTCTTACACGAGTCACTAACGGCTTTGCTTTTAGAAAGCTAACAGAGGCCAGCTGGCATTTGCCAAAGAACTAGTTCTCAAAAAGGGCACAGTAAATCACAAGCTATGGCTGGAAGAGAGAAACAATAAAAAGCAATTGTTCTATTGCTGTGCTATTCTGTGCTTTTCTCTGCTGTTTCTATTACAGAAACAAATCTTATGTCAGCCACAATACAAGGGTGCAAACCAAAGTTTTCAGTCTTCTTTCTCTTGACTATAATTTGTTCACACCTGTACAGTCTTGTTCCAGGCAATGTTTCAAGCAAAGTCTATAAAAAAGGGCAGAGACTGTCTTGTTACTTGATGAGACATTAATAATCAGTGATTAGATCTCTGAAATTCAAAGGAAAAAAATTCAGCTGCTTTGCAGTTGTCAGAAAAGATATTATTCCATAACACTTGCATTCATAAGGAAACACTGGAATGAGCTGTTACCACATTGTGTTTTGGGAAGAGTTATGCCAAATCAGTAACAGCACCAAACACATTTCGGTAAGTCACTGTTACCCAGGATTTGCAGAATCCATCTGCAACTGTCTTTCATTCCTATATCGCATCATCTCCTCTCCTTACACATAAACACAATTTTCAGGTGGTAGAAAATGGCTTTGGGCATAAAATAGAGATCTACAATTGGTCCTCACATTCATCTCACATTAAATGTAGCCAAGCTTGGCGACCACACATTCTTACCTTAAATAGGAAAATTTCAAAAGTTTGACAGAATTGCAGAAGTATATTAAAATAGGGCAGCGACAACCACCTCCACATCTAACCTACCATGAAACAACTTTGGGCCCAAAGCTGTGTTGAGCCTTGCAAATTAATCTAAACTGAAACCAAAGCAGTTCAAAAACCACTGCAAAAGTTCAGAAGTTTACCCAGGAGTAGCTCAAAAACCCTCTGCCTCTTGACGGAAAAGGATATCCGAGAGGTCCAGCAAACAGCTGGGAACAGTGACAGCTCCAGCCACACCATTTTCATCAGCTGCCCTAAGCTTGTGAGAACGTTTAGATTTTGTTTCAGCCCCCATCATGGTGAGACTGTGCACTGGAATCAAAACATTGATTATCTTTCAGATGGGTAACCCTTGCTGCTCTGGGGAATAACAGAATTAGTAATAGCAACTGGCACTCCACATAAACGCATGGACATTGCTCTAAACTGCAAGAGAAAATGTAGAAAACTTTGGGCCAACAGAGCTATCAGCACAGGCAGAGCTCGAGCAGCAAAGTTGTCAGCAGCTCCTCAAGCTGCGGTGCCCTGTGGACAGGATCACCAGCACGACAGCTACCGCGACCACTGCCAGGCTGCATAACGCAAGACTCACTCCCAGCGCAGACCCGGCCTGCGCTTCTGACATCATTTTCTGATGCAAAAGACGTAATGAAGCGTCAGAAAGATGCATCTTTGCTCAACCTCAAAAATCTTTACATTCTGGCCTTGGTTCGAGAAAGCTCACGTTTAAGTTCATTCTGCTTAAACGAAAATACTCGGTGCTTTGTATGAGATTTTCTCAATGAGGATTGTTTCATGACTCATTTTCTAGGAGAAAAAAATAATCTTTCTCACTTTCCCCTCACATAAAGACTGACAGGATTCAGAGGACTGCCATAAACAATTAACTTATAAAGATTTAGCATTCATTTTTTTTCAAAAGCTGGAAACTGATGTCTGATAAAAATTAAAAGAAAAATAGACAAGGTAATGATAGCCAGCAGAAAAAGTCTTTTAAAGTATTTATTGCAGTGACTAGTAATCCTACCTGACAACATGACCTTCCCTGCTCAGATGATCTATATAGTTTGGAATTGCCTTGGGGAAATAAATAAATAAAACTAAAGGTCAAGTGTTGTGCAGTGATTAAACTAGACTGCTTCTAACTAAACCAAAATTAATTAAACATGAAGAAAGCAAGTGAAGTATGGACAGTTAATGCTGTGTAATGCTATGGGACTGCAAATCCTCTGAAGGAGCCAGGATGTTCCTAGCTCCAAATCCACCCTTTTACCCAGCCAGGTATAGAAACCAACTGCTGCTCAGGCTGTAGGTAAGCAGATGGCAAGCAACAGCAAAAGCGAAAATGCAAAACGATGCACCACTTGAAGAATCAGAACTGCAGTTATGTGTCCTTCGCCAGCGCTCACTGCATAGGTTCCTTAAACAAACTGCTTCAAACTTGCAGAACATCAAAAGCCAGATGGGCCCTCCTGAATGAATCCACAGGCAAGGAGCCAGGATTCCAGTTCTCTGCAGAAATAGGCCTGGACTTGATTTGAGTCTTCTCAGCTCTGACAGGCTGGAGTCTGGCAGAACTCCCAAATCCAAAATAAAATCACATTCAATTGTGACTAGACTTTAACTAATAATAATAATACATTCTAAATCCCTGTCATTAGCTTTTAACAAACGCTTCCCTTTACAGTGTATTGTTCACCTTTTCCACTGCTGCTTTTTGGGTTGGGTACCTGCATCAATACACTATTCAAATGGAAGTTAACAAAAGAGTGGGAAGTAATTTATAGCACCAGCTTTTTTCCAGGCTAAAGTATCAAACCAACATCTAACTTTCTCTCCTGTACAGGACATTTCTCAGCTTCTGTTGACATGTGTTATTCTTTAAAGTGTTCATAACTCCGAATCTTACTAAATGTTACCAAATCTAATTTAGCAATGAGCCATTTAAAAAAGCCACCATAAGTAGCAAAACCACCTTTATCGCTATGTATATGTTATGCATGAGGAATGATTCACCTAGCAACATAATCCTCTACCAGCCTTTATCTTTCTTGGCTTGGGACCTATGTTTAAAACCAGGAGAGAGCACAGACCCATTACATCAAAGTTTAAATCAGCTGCATTATAATTATCAGGCTGATACCGCAAATAAACACTGGGTGTTGGCTGGCCAGGATTGCCAAAAAAGATAGAGGTCCTGCCCTTATTTGCTGTCTTTGACAATGCATATAATTACATCAAAGGAAAGTCTTCTGCATCACAGTTAACAGAAACGAGAAAAAAAAAAAGAACCTGGAGGTTCTTTCCTTGAGTAAAATGATGGATTTTGTTCATTATATGAAAATTAAAATTTTTGCCTATAATGAAAAAAAAGGATTATAATGTAAAGCCCTTGTGGGCTAATGTAATACTCACTGAAATCACTTGAGGTATTTTCATTGAGTTCATGGGAGGTAGACAGAAGCCTCAAACATGTTTATCTACTTGAGACTGAAAATTTATAATACTAAAGGATTTTTCTTCAGATATAGAATTTAAAATGAATTT